CTTCTCAAAGACTTGATTCGAAAGTTTCACCATGAAATCAAGGAATCTATGCCTCAGGAACTGGAACGCAGTCAAGAAGTTGAATTGAAAGAATTTGTCAAGGAATTCCTCTCTGAACGTCAGTATATCATAGTTTTTGATGATGTATGGAGCACTGGTTCATGGAATGCTCTCAAGCATGCACTGCCCGACAAAAATATGAGTAGTCGTGTGGTACTCACTACACGGACACTCGATGTGGCTAACACAGCCAGTCAGCCCGGATATCCGGGCTGTCACGGCTGTGTCCATGAAATGGAGGCCTTATCTTATGAAGACTCTTGGAAACTACTTTGTAACAAGACTTTTGGAGATGAAATCTTCCCCCCACATCTACAAGACTGTGCAGATGCCATATTGGATAAATGTAAGGGCTTGCCTCTTGCCATTGATGCTGTTGGTGGCCTATTGGCTATGAAGGACAAGAACAGCATAGAGGACTGGAGTACCGTCTCTAGCTACCTTAACACCAAGCTACATGGTTATAGTGATAACCTTGAAAGAACACGACAGGTACTTCTTCTAAGTTACTATGATTTGCCTTACTATCTCAAGACTTGTCTATTGTACTTGAGCATTTTCTCTGAAGATAGTACTAACTTTGAAAGAATACGACAGGTACTTCTTCTAAGTTACTATGATTTGCCTTACGATCTCAAGACTTGTGTATTGTACTTGAGCATTTTCCCTGAAGATCATATGATTGACCATATGAGATTGATTCGGCTATGGATAGCTGAAGGATTTGTGCAAGGGAAAGAAAGGTTGACAAAAGAAGAGGTTGCACTTCATTATCTTGAGGCGCTCATTAATAGAAGCCTAATCCAAGTTGCAGAGAGATATCCAGATGGAAGGGTAAATCTTTGTCGTATCCATGATATTGTACATGAAATTCTTGTTTCTAAGTCAAATGAGCAGAATATAGTGAACACTGAAATGGGAAGAGATTCAGAGTTGCCTGATAAAGTTCGACGGTTTGCAATACGTTCTTCCATAGACAGCGGCCACCTAGAAACTAATAGGTTGAAGTATCTACGATCACTGATATTAACAGCGTCCGTAGATTTACGATTTGAATCATTCTTATCAAAGCTGCTGTCAGGTAGTCGAAAGTTGCTAAAGGTGTTGGACTTAAGAGATGCTCCACTAGGAAAGATCTCAAATGAAGTTTTCAAACATTATCATCTTACGTATTTGAGTCTGAGGGGGACAGGGGTCAAGGACATTCCAGAGTCAATTGGACAGCTTCAATGCCTAGAGACTTTAGATCTTAAACACACTAAGGTCATTTCTTTACCAATTGAGATCCTAAAACTCAAAAGACTCCGACATCTCTTAGTATATAAATATAAGCCACGGATATGTGGTGTGTTTCCCTTTGATAATGTTCAAAGCTTTAAGGCTCCATACCGAATAGGATGCTTATCATCCCTACAGAAGCTTTGTTGTATAGAGGCAGACCAAATGGGTGACACTACGATAGTGAGAGAGATAGGGAAGCTAACCCAATTGAGGAGATTGTGTATTAGGAAATTAAGAAGAGAAGATGGGAAGGATTTTTGCTCGTCCCTCAAGAAGTTAACTGAACTACGCTCGTTGGATGTCGGTTCCATTAGAAAGGATGAGACCATTGAGTTGCAGGATGATCTCTATTTTAAATTTCTTCGAAACCTATACCTGGGGGGGAGGTTGGAGAAGGTACCACAATGGATACCTTCTCTTCACTCGCTGAGTAAAGTAGTTCTGAGAGATAATATGTTAAGCAACGATCCATTAGAATCCCTTCAAGATTTGCCTAGACTAGCATTTCTTGAACTTGATGGGACATTTGAAGGTGAGAAATTGGAGTTTAAGGCTGAAAAATTTCAACGTCTCAAGAGTTTAGGGATTTGGAGGTTTAATGGATTAAGAAAAATCGTGGTGGAGAAGTGTACCATGCCAAATCTTGATGTGCTATTCTTGGGGCATTGCAAGTTGGTAGAGTTGCCTATTGATTTCGAGCATTTGAACAAGCTTCGATACTTTCAAATCAGTTATATGGCCAAAAACTTTGTCGAGGCACTAGAAACTCAGAAACGAAGTGAAGGGAGTAATTGGAAACTAGCTCATGTCTGCAATATTTTAGTAGATGATGAACAAGGATGGGGATACTTGTAACAGAGATTCCACTTGTTTGTAGTATAGTCTTGTATCATTTTTTCTTTGTCATACTGGATTGAGTTTTGACGCTGCCAAAAGTAGCTTTGGCTTCTATTTTGTTACCTATATTATTTCCTTGTACGTATTTGTCTTCTTTCATGTCTCATGAGTCATGCTCGTATCATAGTAAAATAAATTGAAAGAAGCTCTAATTATTCTGTATTCACTTCTTTATTGATTCTATTATTTTAAGGGCTTCTAAAGGAAATAGAGAAGTCATGCTTAAAAAAAAAAAAAAAAAAAGGTCAAATGTATCATTTAGAGTCTTGATTTTTGAGCCAAATGGATAAATATTTGGAGGATTCAATTTTCTTTGGTACAAAAAGTCGTTCAATTGTAGGTAAGAGCAACACAGTCCAATACTTCTGAACTTTCAGCATCTCTCTCTCTCTCTCAAATTTGGTAATCGTGAATTGTTATAATGTTATTGTTTTTGGTGTAAATCTTATTACTTATACTCTGAAAATAGTCTCTCTCTTTTTTTTAAAAAAAAAATAAAAAAGGGTAAAACATAATATTTAAACTTCCAAAAAAAAAAAAAAAGAGAGGTCAAAGAATTTAAATTAATTATCATTTATTTATAACTAACAAAAGTATAATTTTTCAAGTCAAAAATTAAGAACGAAGCTTGGTGTACAGATAGGGGTTCACAGAAACCATACCGACACCTCATAATAGGGTGGGTGAGTTATTTTCTGGCCATCTTTTATTCGGAGGACCACGCTATGCTACCAGGCCTGTAAGCCTCTCTCACATTTGGGATGGGGTGGGTTTTTTAGGGTATTTTTTTAACCATGGGGGACCCACTGAGGTGAGAGAAATGAGAAAGGAGGCCTCTACCAGGCCTCTTATTTGGATGGGCTCTAGACTTGTGAGTATTCTAAAATTCTTCGAGTTTGCAGTTAGTCAGAGGGTAGTTCAAGTTGCTTATAAGCTAATTCTTCCTCCGTCGTGTAACATTCATCCCGTGTTTCATGTATCCCAACTATGCAAAGCAGAGGGAGCAGTGCGAGCTGTGAAAGAAGTACCTAACCAATTGAATGAGGAGTTGGAGATGTTGGTTGAGCCAGAGGCAATACTTGGGGTGCTATCGGGCCTAGTTAGCAATATTCGAAACATGGATGTTTTAATACAATGAAAGGAACTACCACCAGTTGAAGCCACTTGGGAATTTTACGACATGATTAAGCAACAGTTTCCTTCTTTTCACCTTGAGGACAAGGTGAAACTTATGGGGGAGGTAATGATAGGCCCACAATCCATACGACTTACCAAAGGTGCAAAGGCAATGTGCACAATTACAGCACAAATGGAACAATCACAGCCATTACAGCATTAATGGTACACAATTACAGCACCAATTAGGAAGGAAAACCAACTATAAATAAGAGAAAGGATCACGTTACAGGCAGCCAGAATTTGGGAGATTCCTTGGGAGAGTGTGGACCTCTCGAATGTCAATTTTTCTTTTTATTTCCAAATAAAGTAATCTGCCTTCCTATAGCAGATTTATTTCCAATTGTAATCATTAATCATCACCGATTAGTGATTAAATTCTTATAATAAAGCTCCACTTCTGCTTGGGATCTATCATTTTGCTGCATTAATTTGTCGTCTCTCTAATAATTTAAGCTTTTAAATGAGATAGGTAGTTAGGTAAACATTATATCAAAACAAAGAGATCGTGAATTCAAGTCTTTGCGCCATCCGTTAGTGGAAATTCTACATGTGTTGGACGTTTACTAAAATATGAACCTGTCCTCTTGAGAAGTGCATTAAAGACAATTATAAATGAATATATACTCCAACCATATAAGCTTTTAAATAAGGTGGTGGTATCTTTTTGGACACTACACGTGCATACCTTTATGGCATGTTTGGGAGGGTAGATTATCCGAATAGAATTGTATAAGAAAACGAAGGCAAAAATGCTTGTTCATAGTACTGTTCAATACAAATCACTTACTGAGTATGGTAATGTTCCAATTCTACCCCTATCTTTGCATCTATAAATTAACAAATTTATGATAAAATGAAAGTAAACAAGTTTGGCCAAGTAAGAACACTGCCAGCTTCCTGATCATGAAACAAGACAATCAAAAACAGCATGGTCGCTAATTGGCTTGTAATAATTGTATCTTTAAGCATCATTAGGAGCTAGAATTGAAGAATGCTCTTCGACTTTTCAGATACAAGACTAGAAACGTGAAATTTTTTAATTTCTTTTTTCTGGTAATGTGACTTTTTTTTTCCCTCTTTCCAGCATGTCATGCTTTGGTTTGGAACCAAAAAGTAAGAGGAAAGACTATAAACATTGCAGATTAGGACTAAACATAATGGAAGCTTCAGTTATCTTCACAAACGGATCAAAATCTTAGTTTGGCTATGCATACATTGCCGTTGAAAGAGCTCTGAGGAATATCCTAATTAAGATGTATATAAAAATTTTCAAGAGAACTAAATATTTCAACTAAAGCTAAAGCTAAAGGAAATTATCCTATTGTTGAGTGCTAGGAAGCATGAACATTTTAATAGGGCAAACCATGGTGTAAAAACAATCATATTCTACAGAGGGCCTTTTATAATTTGTAGTTAACATTATTACATATTTGTAGTTAACATTAGTCACGAAAATTCAATTTGCAAATTAGTGAAATGGCGTTTACTAGTCCAAATGGATTGTAGTTTTCTCGTTGTATCTTGTTTTCGGGCTCACAGTTTTTACTTGGTTTCTCCTCAGTTGGGCCCAGCAGTATGCCGTGCCAGTTAATGGTTGGGTTCTATGCATATGCCAAGTCTTTGGAGATAGACGTGGAGAAGGAAGAGTTAGAAGGTACTTTTGTTATACTGATGGATCCTAAATGAACTTTCCGTTTCCACAGTTTTATTTTTATACCCCAGCATGTTTCTCCCCTGCCAGTTTGATGAAATGAACTTTCCCTTTCCACAGTTTTATTTTTATACCACAGCAAATTTCTCTCCTGCCAGTTTGATGAAAAATTAATCGACAGATTAACCATGCTCATACTTACACTCTTTGATGCTCGGACTCTTCGAAATGGTTGGAGTACCCGTGTCGGACACGACACGACATGGGTATGGGTATGGGTATGGGTATGGATATGTGTCGGATCCTCCAAATTTAAACTGGACACTTCACCCTTTTTTACTTCTTTTGTCTTTTCCTTTTCTTTCCCGTTTCCTATAATTGAAAACTAAACCCCAAAATTTTATTTTATTAGTCTTAACATCTTATATAATACTCATTTCATTTTTTGCGAACTATTGATTTTGGTCTATTCAAAATGACATATTGGGTTAATAAAAAAAATTGAAATTTGAAAGACGTACCCACGTACCCGTGTCCGAAATTTGGATTCTTTTTAACCATGTCCCCGTATCCTACATTTTAGAAAATAAAATATCCGACACTTAGATTTACCCGTACCCGAATCCGAGCATCATAGCTTACACTTTCCATGTGCACATGCAAAGGGGGTTGTCCACGTGCATGTCCAAATTAGTATCCACCTTCATTCGCTCATAGAGACACTTCCTACCTCCGTTGGACGGATACTTCAACTAGGGTAGCATGTTTGTGTTCGACACGTGTCAGACACCGACTCTCTTTGAACACTCTACCATAGCCATTTTTCTTTTTTATCTGAAGTATTATATATTTTTAACTTAAAGGGCTAGTGATTGTGAGGCTCCAATTCTTGATTGGAAGGGACACCAAATGCTTCTGCCTTTCCATCCCTTGGATGGATAGAGGGGGAGGGCAGAGCTTTTGGTCACGTGTCGGACACCGACACTCCTTGAACACTCTACCACGATAACTTTCCTATTTATATCTGAAATATTACATATTTTTAACTTAAAGGTATTATTAAATAACAAATAGACGTTGATATTTAAAAGATTTCAACAAGAAAATTAATAACAAGTATAAGCTAAATTTATATTATATAAATGAAGAATTTTAAAGAATTTAATCAATATGTCGACATGTTGTGTCAATACTTTTTTGAAAAATCGTGTATTGATGTATCGGATATGTGTCATGTCGGACACACGTGTCCATGTCAATGCATTGTAGCTCCCTATTGTTAAATCATGTGGTTATCTTAACTTTTTTTCCTTTTCTCAGACGCTAAATGGCACACTCGAGAAGATGTAAAGAAGGCTCTTACATTTGCTGTATACAAGAAGGCACAGAAGACGACAGCAACTAAAGTAGATCAAATGTGCAAGGGGGTTGAGAAAGGGCAAAACTTGTTTGCAGATTACACTGTCGAAATTGGAGAACTTGCTACTCTGTTTATCTCGGGACCATTTGCAATTACTCAGCATCTCATCTCTTCATGGGCCAATCAAGTTGATGATAATGGTGATGGAGCACAGATGAAACAAGCTGGCAATTCATTTTGAAGCTTGTAGTTTCAGAACAAAACGATTGTCTATTATGAATGTTCCAAAATTGAACTGTTTTATGTACGCATCGACTTGTAAATCCTATTATTCCTTTTCGCATTGTTGTTTCTTAGAAAATGTGATCTTTTACATTCAAACTTTAAAATCTCATCATTTACAAAATACATCAGTTTTAACTTCATTTTATATTAAAATCTTTTTCTTTACAAGGCATAGGACTATATAGTTCACTTTACCTAGCAATCCATTAAAGTTTGTGATTCAAGTTACAACTTTAATATGGTGATGAAGATTTTTTTAAGTAGGCAAGGCTGCGTCACACATACCCCAAATTCGAGTAGTGACATCGAATATCCTTAAAACCATCTCCATGTATATGATTACCTACTCGTTATATTATGTACAAATTTGCTTATTATCTCTATAGAAGAATATGCAAATAAAGTGAAACTTTGTACATTTGTATTTATACCTTGCTAAGTCCTGTTAAATTTCTATGCATCTTTGCATTAGAGCATGCTCATTTGATTGCCAATCGAGCTAAAGAATCCGTAGGGTTGAAAAATCCCCTAAGAAGAGGATCATCTCGAGGCAGAATTCCTTGGAACTCTTCCAAACAAAAGATGAATTCTAACAAGTCTCTTGTAATAAAAACTATCATATTGGACAACTTAATAGATAATTTTAAGTCCTTTTTTGCTATTTAATCCTCTCTACGGAACATACAGTGACATAATTTCAAGTGTATGTTGATTCTTGATCATCTTTTAATAGCTTACCAAAGCGAAGACTATCAATAAGAGAACTTGTACACAAGTCCAGCGTCTAGGGTAGTTTAAACAAAAAATTATAGATTGTGACTTGAATGAAAAAATAACTGATAGGATACCAACTGGAGAGAACAAGACCAGATTATGAATAAGTAGTTATTTGATTAAAAAAAGACTACCAAGTTACTTGTTATTTAATATGGTGGAATGATCAATTCCCATTTTCTGGATATTACTTTTTCTTGCTTAGATATTTTATATAATATTGTATTCTTTTTAATTCAGGTTTATTTAGATCCGCCCAGTGAAGATACTTCTCCAAAAGTTGGTGGGTTCTCCTCTCCTTTCTACGATTGTTAATAATTTCAATCTTGATTCACGTTTAATTTATTTCTTGTGGTGATTGAATCCAAATATAAGCCAATTACACTGCTGTAACAGTACTTGTACTTGCAACTGGGATGTATTGGCTGAAGCAACTATTGCTCTTTATACAAATGCATTTGGTTAGCAACTCATAAGAATGAAGGTATCTACACTAGCAACATGGGTTTGCATAACTCATCTCACAAGGTGATGCAGGAGGATTCGAGTAGAGTGATGCTCATTTGTCAGATAACACAATGATGGCGCTAAGATATCATGAGATGGCAGATCGACGCAAAGATGGGAAGTGAATCGCAATTATTTCCTTGATTGGGGGAATTTGACACACTTTTGATAATTTGGCCATAACTTTGGCTACGATTATCAGAATCGCGATCATGACCCTAATTTGAAAAGCTCTCTTCGGTGTGCACGACGTGGTGGGCATCAATTTCGAGCCCAAAATTCGCTATTTTTCTTTTCGAAATTTAATTTTTAGTTATTTTTTACTATTTATGGTAATATTTCATGTCCTTTTTTCCATATGCTAGAAAACTCGAATTGAGTCAAATTTTTGATAACTTACTTCTTTTATTTAATATTTTATTTTGGTGTATTTTCGGGATTTTGCCATTTTTGATAATTTTCCCATAATTTCATTTTTTTCAGCTATTTAACCCGACTTGTGTGTTAATTTTCATCATTCTGAATTATTAATAATATTAGTTGAGTTTTCAGAGAATTTTCTTTGGTTTTGAGCGTTTTCTTTCATGTTGTTCTTACAAATCATCTATTGCAACGAGCCTATAGGATAATCGTTATCCTACCTGGCGTCAGTTGGTATCAGAGCGTCAGTATCTTCTTGGGAGATAAATCCCATCAATTATAATGGTTGGTGGACGTGGACGTGGTCGTCGAGGGCAGGTTTCGATTGAGGAAGTCCCACACCATGATCGTAATAATCAGAATGTGATGATTGAAGATTTGCATAGACAAGTTACAAAGTTAACCCAAATTTTGGCGGAGTAGGAGTTCGGTAATCATGACGTGGAGCGTCATAATTTCAATACCAGTTTTGAAAACCTGTATCACAATCGTGCTCGAGTTTGGGAGCATCGTGGATGAGAGGATCATCATGTGGATCTCGGTTTCAAAGTGGATCTGCCCGAGTTTTCTGGTATGTTGCAGGCTGAAGGATTTATTGATTGGCTGAATGAAGTGGAGCAGATTTTTGAATATAAGGAGGTTCCAAATCGTGTCAAAGTGAAACTAGTCGCCATCAAGCTCAAAGGTAGAGCATCCGCATGGTGGGAACAGTTGAAGCATTTAAGGGAGCGACAGGGAAAATCCAAAATTACTGACTGGGAGAAGATGAAGAAAAAGATGAAAGGGCACTTCCTCTCGGCTACACTCAAACCTTGTTTCAGAGGCTCCATTCACTGAGGTAAGGTGCAAGATCAATCAATGATTATATTGAGGAATTCTATCAGCTGGTGGCTCGAAATGATTTATATGAGACGAGGAGCATATGGTAGCATGGTATTTGGGGGGATTAAGGCAGCCCCTGTAGGATGTTCTAAGCCTTCATTCATTGTAGACGGTTTCTGAGGCATATCAGCGGGCACTTGCAGTGGAGAAACAGCAGAGTAGGAGGCCAGTAGTAGGGGATGAAGGTAGTCAGCCAGTTCGCCCTCAAGAATCTCGTCCTGCTTATCGGCCACAATGGGATAATTCCAGCTCAAGTATTAAGTGTTTCAGATGTGGTGAACAGGAGCGTAGGGCGACTGATTGCAGGAAGCCTACTGGTCAGAAGAATAAAAAACTTCTGATTGATGAGGATATGATAAAGGAGTTCGAGGAGGTTTGGGAGCCTGTGTATGATGATGGTGAAGATGAGGACGTGCTATATGGAGATGGCCAGGAGACTCTGGTCGTTCGAAAGAGCCTGCTAACTCCCAAGGGAGATTCTGGGGACAATTGGTTGAGGACCAACGTTTTTCACACAACTTGCACAGTTGCTGATGAAGTCTGCAAGCTGATAATTGATAATGGCATTTGTGAGAATGTAGTATCTGAGGAGGCTATCAAGAAACTGCAACTGAAGATGGATTGTCATCCCAAACCATACAAATTGTCTTGACTGAATAAAGGTAGTGAGGTAACGGTAGAAAAACGGTGCTTAGTGTCTTTTTCGATTGGAAAAAAATATTTTGATAATGCTTGGTGTGATGTGGTATCAATGGATACGTGTCATGTTTTGTTGGGACGACCTTGGCAGTATGATCGTAGCGTTATCCATGATGGGCTAAAGAATTCTTATTCTCTTAGCATCAAAGCGAAGAAAATTGTTTTGGTGCCTCGTAGGGAAGAAAACATCCCTGCCTCGATAGTTAATAACATCAATCTACTTTCTATGTCCAAGTTCTTGGTTGAGATCGGGCGTGAAAAAATAGTTTATGTTTTAATGCCTCGTGAAAATAGTGCAGCGAATGTGGATTCGGAATTACCAGCAGAAGTGCAGCAACTACTGATGGAGTTTTCTGACTTGATGCCAAAGGATCTTCCTCCAGGATTACCACCTATGAGGGACATTCAACATCGGATCGACCTTATTCCAGGGTCGAGTCTACCAAACCGACTAGCATATCACCTCAGTCCCAAGAAAGCTAAAGAGTTACAGCGACAGGTGGTAGGATTATTGGAGAGGGGCTACATTCGTGAGAGTACAAGTCCTTGTGCAGTTCCTGCTCTACTAGTGCCGAAGAAAGATGGGTCGTGGCGTATGTGTGTTGACAGCAGGGCAATTAACAGGATTACAGTGAAGTACAGGTTTCCAATTCTCTTCCTGGACGACATGTTGGATCAATTGTTCGGTTCTAAGGTCTTCTCAAAAATTGACTTTAAAAGCAGATATCACCAGATCAGAATCAGGCCTCGAGATAAGTGGAAGACAGTGTTCAAGACACAGCATGGATTGTACAAGTGGATGGTCATGCTCTTTGAACTATCCAATGCACCCAGCACTTTTATGAGGTTTATGCATCCGATTTTACGGCCTTTCATGGGGAAGTTTGTGGTAATCTATTTTGACGACATACTTATTTATAGTCTAACATGGGACTTACATTTTAATCATCTTCGTGTTGTCTTTGATGTAATGAGGATGGAGCGCTTATTCATCAATCAGAATAAGTGTTCTTTCTTCACAACTTCTATAACTTTTTTGGGATTTTTTGTGCCTACTGATGGTGTTTATGCAGATCAATCCAAATTTGAGGCAATTTTGAATTGGCCCAAGCCAAAAACTTTGCACGATGTCAGGAGTTTCCATAGATTGACATCTCTCTATTGTGAATTGGCCCAAGCCAAAAACTTTGCACGATGTCAGGAGTTTCCATAGATTGACATCCCTCTATTGTCGGTTCATCAGAAACTTCAGTACCTTAATTGCTCCTACCACAGAGTGCCTTAAAGGGCGTGATTTTTGGAGGACCGAGGAGGCAAAGGCTAGCTTTCAGTTGGTTAAGCAGAAGATGATGGAGGCCCCAGTCTTGGTACTTCCGGACGTTGAGAAGTTGTTCGAGGTAAACTATGATGCGTCTGGAGTTGGTATTGGTGGTGTTCTGAGTCAGGAGGGGCATCCAGTAGCCTTTTTTAGTGAGAAACTATCGGGATCGAAGAAAAATTATTCCACTTATCACCTGGAGTTCTATACCATAGTTTAGGCTCTGAAGTATTGTCGTCATTACCTGGTACAGAGGGAGTTCATCCTTGTCAATGATCATGAGGCCTTGAAGTACATCAATGGTCCGCACAATCTAGTTCATAGCAGAAACATCCTGAGACATGGTAATTAGTAGGGGAAGTAGTGGCTTTTTGGGCAAAGAAGATTTCTTAATTTATTTTTCATTATTAAAG